CCGCTTATATCAAAACAATGAAATGAGGATAAATCTAATCAGAATATCTATGACAATTAATCAGATTTATTCATCAGTGCCCTCTGATGTCCAGAGATTAATGAAAATAAAGTTACAAAGCAGCCTGATATCCCCAGAGGAAGATGGAAGCTTATTTCAAACGATTAAATTGATACTTTGTCTAAAACCGGATCCAGCAAATAAAACTATGAATATTTTATTCAAGTGACTGGGTATGCAGCACTACGCGTTTGCACTGATTTGAGACCATTTTCAAGGATGCTTCTCTCTTTTCTCCTTAAATTCTACTACAGGTGTGTTTAAACTAATTCTGCAGCTACTGAATGTTTTGTCGTCCATGTTTCAGGGTAAAGGTCTTTTTGCTAAAAAGAGCATCAAGAAGGGAGACACCATTTTTACTGAGCGGCCTCTTGTTTCTGCACAGTTCCTGTGGAATGAGCTGTATAAATATAAAGGTGAGAGATGCAGATGAAGCTCAACACAGAGTCCACAAGACCACAGAACCGTTATGATCTGACAGTCAGATCATAACAGGGTGATGTTGCATGCAACCATAAGCAGACAGCATCAGGATGCGGTCTTAAAATGAGATCATTCAGGATTTTAGGTGGAAGTTTTATTGCAAAATAAACTAAAAATGTCTGCTTTGCCTCAAACAGCCTGTGAGTACTGTTTGCGTGCTTTGGAGACTGCAGAAGAAAATGCCCGTAGGCTCAGCGGTAACCCTGCACTCAGCCTTCCTCATGCTGAACTCTGTTGTGTTCATCCAGAACTTCACCAAGCCTGTCCTCAGTGTCAGGTACGTCCACACAGAGTCCACAAGACCACAGAACCGGTCTTCAGTATGTGGTTTAAGGACCAGTCAGTTTTACATAGATAAGAAAATGAGATCATTTCTCAATCAGATTCTTACAGTAATAATTTTGTGGACGGCACGAGTTGGGAGACCTGCTAAACTGCATTAAAGTGAAGATGAGTGATTGGGTTATCTTCAGGCTGTAAAGACAAAAACATGCATTTTATTTAACTCCCTTAATCAAAATGCATAAAACAGATCAGCCTTGCCGCGTTAGCAATAAACACAGGTTTGTCTTATTTTAGGGTAATAATGTTATTAAATAACTGACTCATGCTACCTTTTGCAATCAGAGGGTTCACCCCCTGTTGTTCAGTAAATAGAATGCACTTTAGCCACTTTAACATTGGCCCATTTTCCTCCAAACTAAAGTTTATGTCTGTTTTAAACTCTGCAAGAGTTGGAACAGAATTTTAATATTTAAAAATTTTAGAAATATCTCATTACTTTCCTACTGTACTCTATTTTTCCAAACCCAGTGATAGGTCTTCTTGCTCACCAGCTTTTTTCTCTATTATTTCTGTGCGTTCTGGGCTAGCTTGTTTTCTTTCTTATTATTTTGTGATTCTACTTTTTCTCCCTTTTAATTTTATATTATTGTTTGTAATAATTAATATTTATGTGTGGTTGTGAAGTTCCTCATGATTTTTATCCCCAAAACATAACATTAAAAAATCTTTCTTCATTATCTAAAGACAACAACACATATGTTCAACAAAGCATGTATATTAAAAGGAAATGTTTGAATTAATCCAACCAACATTTGTAAAAAGTATATTTCTGTCAATATTCTGTAATTATATATATTTTTTCCATCAATAATTTTATTTCTATCCAGAGACTTGGGTGTTGGTAAGCATTACACAGCGTGCTGCCTGAACTTTTCTCACCTGTTTTCACTGACAGGTGATGTACTGCAGCAGCGAATGTCGACAAGCTGCTGCGGATCAGTACCATCAGGTTCTGTGTCTGGGTCCATCTCAGGACGACCCAAATCATCCCATAAACAAGCTCAAAAACACATGGAGGTGAAACAGCATTTCATGGAAGATCCCAACCCTCCATTGTGTTCTCCCTCCTGTCTAACGCAGGGCTTCTGTGTATTTTTAGGAGCATGCATTATCCCCCTGAGACCTCCAGCATAATGCTTATGGCCAAAATGGTAGCTGCTGTCAAACAGGTGACTCTCCTGGGTTCTAAAAGCATATGCAGCAGAGTTTCTTATCTTGTTTGACCATTCTTAATATTATGGTGGGTTATTTTGCAGGCCAAAGACAAAGCTCATTGGCAGAAGCTGTTTTCACACTTCTGCAGTCGGACAGCGAATGAGGAAGAAGAGATCGCCCATAAGCTCCTGGGAGAGCAGTTCAGGGTACGCTAGCGTTACACTTTCTATCTGTTGCAGTCATGAGGTCACCGAAGTGTTTTAAGTCTTCTTGATGCCGTTATCACCGTGGAGAGTTGAAACGCCCCACGATGGCTGAGTGTACGTGATGTGTGTTTTCTCTTTATAGACTGTAACATTAATATGTGTTGTGTTTCATGTGCAGGGGCAGCTGGCTGTGTTAAACGGCCTTTTCACTGCAGCACTTTATGACGATCACCTCAGTCGGGTCAGTGTTAATCTTCTTTGGTCTCATTTAGTCCAGATTTTTTATGATTTATGAAAACAGGAAATAAAATAGATGAAATAAATGTTCCTGTCAAGGTGTTGGATGCTTTTATTGTTCTAACACCCTGCAATGCAGTGATCTCGTAATTTACTCCTTACCTGTTTTTGCTTTTTTCACTTAAATGTTTGACACAACTAAATAAATGTCGGTATGAAAACAAAACAACCAGAGAAATCAAAAATGCAGTTTATCTGCTTTTCTTTTATTATTTTACAAACTTTTGCTGTTCATTTGTTAAAGGTGTTGACAGGGAGGGCTGTTGTTGGTTAAGCATCCAGGAAACAGCAGAGAACGTCTCACCTAGTAGACACTAGCGGTTAGCAAAAGCAACTCCACCACACAGCAGAAGCTCATCCAGGGTCGTGTTATTTGTGGAGATAAAACATCAACGTTGCAAAGCAAACAGTCAGTGGTAGAGTCACATTGCTCTTAGCCAATCAGAGGCGAGATGTCCAAATATTGGGAAGTAAGACTCCAAATCCTCTCGTCTGAAGCTCAGCTGTGATGTGGCTCACTGCTAGTTCCTGGAACTCCCCCCCCCACAGTAACTTACAAGGCGTTTATTCCTACTAAAGACATCTGCAAATGTATTGATTGAATGAGTGTTCAACACCTTTAAAATAAAATCATTTAATATTTTCCCTCCAACATTCAAAAAACAGCAGCTGCTGGGAACTTTAAAGTGGGAATATTATCTTAAATTTGAATTATTACCTCAAAATTTTCAGAACTACTTTGATATGATGAATTTATAATGACCAACTTGATATTTAAAGGGGCATTATGGAAGTTTGACAGCCAAAACATGTATAGAAATAATAAATTTCTTTTTCATACATTCTCCTGCAATGCCCTTGTACTGTAGAATGAGCCCTGGCATTTTTACTGTGATTGTCTGTTTTTCTGTAAAATCACAGAAAAAGAGTTGCTCGGGTCGAGCAGGCTGCTTCATGAGCGTTCACGCTCAGGCATAGCCCGTAGCATTTGCTATCTGTAGCTTTAGCAGCAGAGAGTGAGGTAGTGCCAACTCAGCGACTTTGTCGCCGTTCCTAAACGCCTAGTGATGAACCTAGCTACATTTCTGAGGACCCTTAGCTACTTTCTTCTAGATATTTCCTGCAAATTAGCAACAAAATAGCCATTTTCACTCCAAACCGTTCTTTGAATGTTGTTTCAGCAGTCATCAAGGATATAAATGTTACAGATACGAAAGATGTTATTGGTGCTTTAGCTCACCTAGTAAGACGCCGGACTCTCGTGCAGAAGATCCGGGTTTGATTCTGGATGTGAACATAGTTTGTTTAGAGTTTCTTTTTTACATAAATGGTATATTTTTTTACAGTAAGATGCCCAAATTTTTATTTGAGACTCGCAGAACGGCATTGAATTCACAGTTTAAAAAGATGTGGGTTCAACTTTCATTTTGGAACAATTTTGCAAGCAAGGCAAGGGAATGATCTGAGCATGCAGGAGGACGACCCATCTTAAACCTTTGTCGGCTGTGCTGAAGAGAAAGGTACAGAACCAAATTATTTAATTAATTAGCTGCGTGTTCTCCTGTCCTCCGGGCCACACACACACACACACACACACACACACACACACACACACACACACACACACACACACACACACACACACACACACACACACACGGGACTGTCTCAGCTGTTATTTTCGTTAAGGAGTGTGCACGTACAGCATGCGCGCCTCGTGGACGAGCCTACTATTGAAGCTGCCGTTACGCTTTTGGCCTGAGGGGGCAATCGCGAGCTTAAAAAATTCAAAACTCTGTAAAGTCCCTTTAAACATTTAAAAGTCTAATTTTCACCCTTAATAGCTGTAGAGTCCAACTTTGACTTTAAGTTGATTAATAACTAAATAAAATAACAGATTTTTAAAATTTAGAAAATCAGAGTAATATGGAAAAATACATGCATTTGGTGAGTTTGGAGGATTATTTCCTGCTTGTCTTCCTATCACTAAGATCACTTTTTAATTAGTTCTTGAAACATGAAACCCTTAACCAATAAATAATGTTTAACTCTTATATGAAGCCTCTCTGGTGCAGAACTGATCCTTAGCTGTGTGAATGTTGCAGTGGTTTGTTCCGGAGGGCTTCTGCTCTTTGTTTGCTCTGGTGGGAACCAATGGTCAGGGAATCGGCACCAGGTAAACACCTGCCCCTGGACAACGCTCCAGACTGGCTATAACACTTTGTTTGCTGTCTAATCTCTTTGTATGTAATTCCAGTTCGTTGAGTCAGTGGGTTCACGGCTGTGATGCACTGGAGCTCCCTGCCCAGCAGAGGGCGCAGTTGGACTCTTTTATTGACCAGCTCTACAGGGACATTGAAAAAGGTCACTGTTTTATCTCAGTGCTGCAGTATTTTGTGGAGTAAAGAGTTGTTGTTGCAGCTGAGCTGATTTTTAACCGTCATTTTGTCGAGTCACAGCCAAATATTATAGGAGCTGCAGTTTTCATCAGTGAAAAAGGTTTTATTTTGTAGCAAAGTCAGAAATGTGCATTTCCCTGCAGAAACCGGAGACTTTCTGAACTGTGAGGGCTCTGGACTCTTTCTGCTTCAGAGCTCCTGTAAGTCTAACATGTTAACAAAAAGCTGTAATGCTGAACAAGAGACTGATTGGTGACTTTTTTTATTTTGGTGGGGGGTGTATGGCTGACCCTTGCAGGTAACCACAGCTGCATCCCAAATGCAGAAGCTTCCTTCCCTGACAACAATTTCCTGCTTCACCTCAGTGCCCTGAGTGACATCAGCCCAGGAGAGGTCAGCTGACACATCTGGACTTGTGGTGATAACTTCTGGTCTAGTAAAGATGGGACAGAACATCCCTCTGCGGCTTGGTGTTCTCCCTCGTCAGGCAGCATTAGCAGGCTGAGCCGTTCAGGACTGCAGCGGGTTTGTCAAGCTGTCAGAAAGATTGAGAAGCCCTTCTGCACGCCGCAGCAACGTCTCAGCGGTTGTGCTACTTTCAGAACCAAGCTCTCCTATAAATGTTGGCGAAGACGGGAATTTTTCACTAGACTCCTCTAGCTTTCTCTTCAGCATGTAGACTTATAAGAAATACAGCAACCTGTCTGCAACCCATCAGGTTGTTGTTGGGGCTCCTCAGCCAGCTCACGGCTGTGTTTTTCTTCACTTTTCAGGAGATCTGCATCAGCTACTTAGAATGCTGTCAGCGGGACCGAAGCAGACACAGCAGACACAAGATTCTGAGGTAAACACCTGTAATCCCCGGATAAATCATTCAAACATGGGTCACACTCATGTGAGTTCTGCCTGGATCGATAAAAGCCCTTCTGGCAGGGGCGGGCTCATGATGTAAACGTTGGACTGAGCTCCCAAGCCTCAGCAAGTAGGAGAAAATATATAAAAGTTTAAACGTGCTGTTCTGTTGCTCCATCTTAAGAGGGTGCAGTCTCACTGCAGGTCCACCTCATGCTGGCTGGTTCAAAGCATTAAAAGTGACACAAGTATTAATTACGATGTTAAACAGTGGCTTTAGTGCACAGCAGCTGCAGAGCGCTTCCTATTAATGCAGCTCTTGTTCTGAGTGCAACTCCACGTTTTCTTCCCAGGGAGAACTACCTGTTCATCTGCTCGTGTCCAAAGTGTGTGTCCCAGATGGACGAGCCAGATCTGACATCCGAGGAAGAAGAAGAGGAGGAAGAAGGCGAGGCAGAAGGGGAAACGGAGGGGGATGAGATGGAAGATGAGATGACAGATGTTTGATGAAAGACTCGGCCGTAATGCTCTCGGTTGTTCCTGTTTCTGCAAGCTATGAAGCCAAAAACAATAAAAGAGCAGTTCAGATCATGATCTGCATGTCAAAGGAGCTGCTCAAAAGTGTGGAACCGTGTCGTATAAGCGGCATATTAATGGCTGTTTTCAAAGTGTTACAACACCAACCCGACATAAACCCGCAGGCCGAGGGTTTGTGGGGGGCTTAACTATTAAGATGTACAAAAATCACCTCTTAAACCTGCAACCGTTGACTTTCTTTTTTTCAAATGGATGATTGTCATGTCAACGCCTATGTTGGTTGGCTCAAAACCACACAGGGAACAAAATCAGTATTCAAGTGGTTTCTGGCACTCAGCAGGTGTGCAGAGAAGTTTGTAAGGTTTGAGCACTTTGAGTAAAGCATGGCAGAGTTTAATAAATCAGCCTGCGTTTAAACAAATCCACTGTCTTTTGAGAAAAAAGTCATTAACAGAGTGAAGCTTTAGCAGATAAATGCAGACCTGCTGCCTTTGTGTTTTAATTTGATTCAAAATAAAGACCCTACATAGCCCCTACTACTAAGATGGCCACTATCAAATAATTGTGATTTTAATGGCTGTACAAACGATAAGGACATTTGAATCTTTCATTGGCAGAAAATTGTTTTTTAGAAATGAAAAATAAAAAAATAAAACCCATTAGAACTTTTTTCCCCAAAATCTTCAGTGTTCCTAAATGTACCCTCATAAGGACAAAGTGCATCTTGACCTTGAAATGCCTGATTAAACGCATAAAGAATATTTTTCCATACAACTCGAGTGTGTGGAGTCATGCTGGAATGTGTTTAAATGAGCACAAAGACCAACTATTTGATTTTCTTATTGTGACCATATTATGATTGCAAAACATTAATTCACACCTGAAACACAAAAACGAACTGAAATGTGAGTTTTTATCTCAAATAGGAGTTTGCAGTCGTGAAAGTTGGTGTCTTAAAGGCGTAGTTCAGATCAGAAGTGAGTTTCTGGTGAAAGCTTATGAACAAGTCATGGCCTCAGGAGAAATATAGATTAGTTCTTATGAAAGAGATCAGCTAACATTAGGGCCTAGTTACTAAAGCTGGGTGTGCTCGTTTTTAACAGCATGACTTCCTTGCAGAGCAAAGCTCAAGAGTCATGTTCTCACGCTGTATGATCCCATGCCCTTGTGCGACCTGACTGCCCACACTGGAAGTGTGGTAACAACTCATTGGATGGAGGCGCGCGGCCTTTGGTGCCCCCATCCGACGGAGAACCCAAAGTAGATGTCATATTCAACACACTCCCTCCCCTACTCTGGCAACCCCAATATCAGTTCAACCCCTGTCGCACACACACCGAAGGAAGATCCACTAACACCAAATTGGTGGCATTGTTTTATGAAAGAGGATTTAAAGTGTTACGTCCCTCAGCTCGCTAGGAGAGATGTGTAGGAGGGAGTAAAAGTTGTAGTGTGTAGGTTTATTAATAAAGTAATTGTGTCGCCGAACAAAGGATTTTATTACAACAAATACAAAGAAACACTATAAAAGGGAAACTGAAAGCGCCAGGCCAAAAGGGCTGGGAGGAGGGGAACTAACTAACTGAAACATTCTTTTACAAAAAAAAACTAAACTAACGAGAGCCGTCCTGAGACGCTCAGGGGAAATCCAAAAGCGGAGTCGAAGGCCAGTCCAAAGTCAAAGTTTACCAAAAATCCTACCGATCGAGAGTCAGAACCACTAAAGTACCACCAAGCTAATCACACATGCACACGAGGAGAAGAGAGAAGCCTGAACACCTTTGTGCCCACACTTCCCTGTACCTTCTCCCAGACTGAGGGCAGGAGAGCAGCTTTTAACAGCTGTCCAGTGGTTGCCGGTGATTACGAACAGCTGGGCACCGGGACACTGGCGAGGCAGAAGCCACCGAGGCCATCTTGTGGCCGGAAAGGGGCAAAGCACGTAACAAAAGTGACAAAGCCCTGAAATGACTCATTCTGGAGGGTACTGAAAATATTAAGAACAAACCGATGAGATCATTTTATGTGAAAGGGATTTTGTGAACAGACTCAGGGAACATGTTTGGTGTCCACCATAGAAATGTTTTAACTTAAGAAAAAAAAAGTCATGTTTCCTTAAAGGTTTACAAAATAAAACAAATGGCCACAGTAGTGACTTCCTTCCACGTTCAGCCACCAGAACGTTATAATTTAATCTGCGTTAACTTGAAGATTTGCTTCTCTTCTACTCTTATTTCCTGTCCTGGCCGTGAAGACGAGGCTTTTATTTCATCATCATTTCATTACAATTACAGCCTTGTCATTTGAAACATTACAATTACAGCCTTGTCATTTGAAAGGCATTCAGCCTGTGAAACACCAGTTGGTCTTCATGCTATGAGCTATGGGTTTAAGTTAACTCTCCTGTAATGTATTATGGAGACCTTGAGTAGAAAATTGCTTTGTCAGTTATTGTTTGTTGTTTATTGAGAACAGTGTTTTATACGGTGGTTCCACACAGATGAGTCTGCTGCTGTTGCCACACATGAAACAATAATGCCTCGACGACTGTGATCACAAATGTTTTCAGTTACTTAAATAAAGGAAATATTACATGAAGTCCAGTCGTCTTGCTGTTTGTGTTTTTACTAGTGGATGATACAGTTGTGTAAAATTTAAATGTAACGGCAACAAACTAGCAGTGGTTGGTTTTACTGCGCGCTCATAAACCATTTAAATTGGATGACTGCTGAGTCATTTATCTGGTTAACACAGTTCCTGCTCCTACCACACAGGAACGTGCTAGCCAAATATTTGTTCACCTCTCACATACAAATGCTTAGTTAAATGGGCTTTCACGGGGGGCTCTCCAGGACAACGCATGGAGCCATTAGTAAAATAATTAGGACACAAATCACAGTTTTTTTTAAAAATCTGCTTACTTTGAGTTAAATGTTTCCAAAATTGTTGTCAGGAGCGTGTTTCCACTGATCCCTTTTAGTTTATTGGCAGATCCACTGCTGTGGTTGATAAAGCATCATGCTTTTCTTTTCTTTTTGGTTTTCATGTCATTCCAGCAGCTTGCACATGCTGTTGCTCTCTCTCTCGTTTTGTAATGCAGCAAACACCAGTAGGTGAAAGGTCTGAGGTGAGGGTCATGATGTTAAAAAATTAAGTACAAGCTTTTTACTCAGTCTTGACTTTTTAGCAATCTTGTGAAAAATGAGCTCATCATTTGGAAATAATTGAATCCTTCTAAATAGATTTAACTCAGATTAAAAACAGGACACTGGCAGAATTCATTGACATCATTTATGCTTTCCTGTGACACGCTACTAAATTACCGTATTTTCCGGACTATAAGCAGCTACTTTCCCCCCAATCTTTGAACCATGCGGCTTATAATGAAGATTTTCCTTCACCTGCCAGGGGGCGCTTTAGCAGAAAGTGAAACAGGTGGAAGTCAAAAGTGGAAATCGAGGGAAAGTGCTTATTTTAATTTAGCACATGCAAACAGCCAGCACGACGAAGAATTTTTTTTAAATCCATACCCCCTCATCATGATAACTACATGTATGAGTTTATATGATGCCGCATTTAAGTTGAAGGCCATCGATCTGGCAGTAAAGGAGGGAAACAGTAAGCTTGGCATGAATGAATCCATGGTTCGGCGCTGGAGACGGCAGCGGGAAGAACTCATTCAAGCCAGCTTCACCCGGGGATGATGACAGCAACACGGACAACGACACTGACACCGCCACAGAAAAGGTATGTGACGAAGCTCTTCTGAGGCCGTTCAACTCCGACACTGAAGAAGAGGACTTCAGTGGTTTCAGTGCGCAGGAGGATGATGAATAAACTAATCAATAACTTTTCTGTTTTGTTTGATACTGATCAGTTCAGTTACATTCAGTTAAACTACGTTTTCAATTCAGTAGATATCAAGTAGATTTCTGGGGCTTTTAGCCCGGTGCGGCTTATATAAGTACAGTTCCATGTGTTTTTTAAAAACTTAGTAGGTGCGGCTTATACTGAGGTGCGCTCTATAGTCCGGAAATTACGGTATGTCCCAGGGATGTAAGATCTTGAAGAAAATTGATTCAGAGTTTGAGGAAAAAATTATGTTTATATATATATATATATATATATATATATATATATATATATATATATATATATATATATATATATATAATGTGTGTGTGTGTGTGTGTGTGTGTGTGTATATTTGGCCAAGTGAGTGCCCAAACAGGAGAACTGCCATCTTCCTCTGTGGTACCTGTCAGTACCCTGGGTGTAGCTTTCTGGATCAACAGTTAAACCTCCAGAGCAATATTTGGAAACTCAGCTAAAAATGACACAAGAGTAGTCAATGGAGATGTTTTCAATGTCACTCTTGGACTGTAGAGTGATTGCATGGAGGAATGCTCCCTCATAGTCTAAAATGTTTATAAAGAAGGACTTTAAAGGTACAATGTGTAGTTTGTACCATTAATCTCTGGTAAGTATCCTTCGAAATTTTATTTTGAAGGATAATAATTAAAGTAATAATTAAACAATGCCCAGTTGTTGAAAAATATTAGCGGCTTCGTAACATATAACCATAAAAATAGAATTTAAAATACATGGGAGCGGGTCTAAATCTCTGGGCAACGCCATTTTAAAGTTATGTCTCGTTAGTTATCATCACTCTCAGCATTTGACCCAACCCTGTGGGGAGCTACAGCAATGGCTGCGTTCTGGAACTATTTGGTGGTTTAGACGCCATGTTTCCCTCTACGGAAGTCCGTGAGGACAAAATGATTTGTAAGAAACGATTACAAAACTTTCACCATTCATGAACGTTGTTGTTTTACACATTTACCTCTTTGCTCGTTGCCAGTGATGACAGGGAGTCTGATGTGCTCATCATTTTGCGGGAGGTTGCACTCCCAGAGATTTTTGACCCTAATGGTCATCCGTTGGTAAGGTCTTACTTGAACACCAAAATACAGCTTGCTATATTTTTGCTTTAGATTTAGGTATGCTCTGCCCCCCATCACCAGGGAAAATACACATTGTCACTTTAAATGATAAAGACTGGTATTCGTTTTCAGAACCCTTCATTCCAGTCAACTGGTGGTCTGTGGGACACACCCAGCCTGCAACACCTTTCCTCCCGGCCCCCCATTATTAGTTAATCAGGAATAGAGAAAATGCATGTTTTACTTTTTTCTATATCACATAAACAAACTAAAAAACAGCCTTTAGTCAGAAATGACTACAGATTTAGCTCTCGTTCTACATTTTTTATTTAATCTGCAGCAATTCTTAGAATCTCTGTTTTTGTACTTTCCACTATAATCGTGCATAACTGTGATGTCTCGACTAAAACTGCTCACGGGTTTAAAGTAACAAACGTACAAGTAGACAATATTTACCAGGTTGGTAGGCAGAGCCAACAAAAGGAATTGTAATTAAGGAAGGAAACACGCTGAATAAGTAATTAAAGTTATTTAAAATCCTACTTTGGAGAAAAATAATTAAAGATTAAACACTTTATGGCAAACTGAATGCTTGAAATACGACGTCAAAGTGATGGAGAGCGGAACCGTTTCATAAACGGGAAGCCTAAAATGTCATGGTTGCCCTCTAGCGGCTTGTGTTAATAAAGGAAATATCAACATGCACAATAAAAAATGTAAAAAAAAAGCAGTTTAAAAGGAAAAATAATATATAAAAATTAATATATTAAGATACAATAATAAATAAAATAATTTTAGAAGAGCATCTGGCCCATGAACAAATCTAGTTGAACCTGCTTTTTTTTTTTTTTACATAAAACCCACTGAACACTGCTGACCCTTCTGTGTGGCAAGTGAAAACAAATCAAATCTGCTTTTTTAATAGTCAGAGACTGTGTGTGAGGTATTCCAGGGAATTATAGACATTTTTTGCTTTCAGATTTAGGAAACTTCCTGCATTTAATGGAAGGTTTGATGTTCTGCTGCCGTGGCTGCCATTCATCGTCCTCTGCCAGGACGCATGGGACGTATGAAAGTTAGTAAATACCCTAAAACTCTGATGGAGTAGAATTCATTCAAGGTGACATAATTGGCTTCATAGAGCTACAGTTGCTGTTGGGGAGCATGAATCACTTTTATGTTGAGCTGTAAGATTGTTTAAGTCTGAAGATCTGAAGGAAAGAGATTTTA